GTCATTATCCAGCTTTCTGATGCATAGAAAGTAATTGCAAAGACCATGCCCTAAATCGGGTGCACCTCAATCTCTAGGCTGACATCCTTACTTTCAGCACTCCAGGGGGATCCCTGACAGCAGATTTTTTTAAATGCAATTCATCTTTTGATCTCCTGACTGCTGGTGTGAAGAGTGTTGATTGTGAGACTGAACAAGCTGAAATTTTTTAAAACCCCAATCTCTTCTTCATCTATAATGAAGGCTGCCAATTGGCTCAGTGGTGAGAACCTTTGTTTGCTTGATGTTGATATTGCAAACTACAGTCCTTGACCCTCAACAGCAAATGGTTCGGGCCTAAGTAAGGTTGTGTCATCTGCATAACACAGGTTGTTGATGAGTCTTCCCCCAATCTTGATGGCACTTTCCTCCTCATAAAGTACAGCCTCTCGAATTATCTGTTCTTTATACAGATTGAAAAGGTATGGAGAGAAGAGACACCCTTGATACACTGCTTTCCTGATTTTGAATCATGCAGTGTTTCCTTGCTCTTTTCTAATGACTGCCTGTGATATCCCATGTAAAAGAACTGTGCTCCTGCACTGAAATTCCAGAGGTGCACAGTTCAAATTCACCAGATGCTCTGCTGGAGGAGGGACAATCTCCTTCTGTACCAGTCAGATCTGATTTGACGGTACACACACACACACACACACACACACACACACACACACACACTAATAAAAGAATTGTGCTCATAAAATCCATATATCTACTAAGCAGCATCAGTTGCCCAAACAGAACAAGAGAACAAACACAAAGATGTGCTTCATGGCTTATATCATTTTTCCGTACCTATTTAATCTGTACTCTGAGCAAATAATTCAAGAAGCTGGACTTATATGAAGAAGAATGTGGCCTTAAGAGTGGAGGAGACTTATAAACAACTTGCATTATGTAGATGATACAATATATGGTTGTTGCTGTCAGGTACCACTGAGTCAACTGGGACTCACAGCAATGCTGTGAACAACTGATCTGAACCTTGTGCTATCCTGCTTCATGCTAACAACCTCTGATATGTTTGAACCCATTGTTACAGACACTGTGTCATCCATCCTTTTTTTTTAAGGGGCACTTCCTTTCTTTCTCTAATCCTCTACTTTTACCAATATTATGTCCTTTTCCAGAGATTGTCCCTCCTGCCACCATGTCCAAAGTAGGTGAGAACAGGTTTCGCCATTCTTGCCACTAAGAGCATTCTTGCTGTGTTCTCCTCAAGACATATCTGTTTGTTCTTTTCATAGCTTATGGCATATTCAGTACTATACTCCAGCATCACAACTCAAAAGTATCAATTCTTCTTCTGTCATTCTTATTTCTTGCCCAGCTCTCAGATGCACAGCAAGTGATTAAAAAGAACTAAATTAGATACATACACTTTACTCTTCAAACTAATATCATTACTCTTCAGCACTTTTGTATAAGTCCCTGACAGTGGATTTGCCCAAAGCAATATTCCTCCTGATCTCCTGATTGCCAGTTCAAAGGGAGTTGACTATGGATCCAAGTAAGATGAAATCATTGACATTTACAATCTTTTCTACGTATATCATGATGCTGCCTATTGACCCAGTGGTGAGGATTTCTGTCTTCTTGATGTTGAGATGTAAACTGTATTGAAAGATACAGTTTTTGATCCTCTGTAGCAAGTGTTTCAAGTTCTCCTCACTTTAGCAAGCAAGATTGTACCATTTATACAATGTAGGTTGTTGAAGAGTCTTCCTCTGACCCTGATGCCACATTCTTCTTCATCAAGCCCAACTTCTGGAATGATTTGCTCAGCATAAAGATTAAATAGGTATGGAGAGAGGATGCAGACCTGACAAACACTTTTTTAAATTTTAAACCATGCAGTGTTTTCTTGCTCTGTTCAGACAACAACTTCTTGGTCAAGGTATAGGTTTTGTGTGAGCATAATTATGTGTTCTGGAATTCTCATTCTTCTCAAAATTAGTTGTAGTTTGTTATGATCCACTCAAATACTTTTGCATAGTCAGTAAAACACAAACAGGCATTCTTCTGGTGTTCTCTGCTTTTAGCCAAGATCCATGTGACATCAGCTAGATACCTAGATATAATACTTGGATAGGGAATAGGTATTTAGGAAAAGTGAGGAGACTTAGCAAAAATGCTGTAGGGAAGTACAGAACTGATTTGAATGATTACTCTTTCATCCAAATCTAGGTTGGTGTATTAGAACATGTGAAGGGAAGGATAGGATTGGATGGTCAGCTTACATTCAATGGTAGAAGTGACTGAAGTCAAGTGTCATGTCTGTTCTCCACAACACTGGAAAGCTAATTTATACTTGGTACTCAATAATTGATACTAAATGTGTGAATAAAATAAGGAAATGATTGGACTATCAGGCAGCAGAGTATATATTTTATGCATACTTTTTCTCTAGTTTACCATTATTAGAGTTATGACTGACAACCATCAGAATATGTATTTGTACTGTTGCACCAGGTAATTTGCTGATGTTATTCTTTTCAGATGTCTACTTACAGATGTTTATATATGAAATTTCTCCACCTCCCCTTAAAAGCACATAAAGATAGTTTCACAAAGATATTGATAATAAAAGATCATAAGATTGAAAACAAAAGAGAGAAAAAGAAAGAATTACATGGGTAGAATTGTGTTGCAGGAACATTACTAAAGAGCCTCATTTTCACCCTAGAATGTTTTACAAGGAACTATTTCAAGACCTCTTGGGGAGTATATCTACAGAAACATTTCCTTTTGGAGTCCATGTTTGATTCCCAGTTTGACAGCCACTGTAATGGTTAAGGTTGTGTTTCAACTTGGCTGGCTATGATGATCTGTTTTAATGGTTATGGTATAGTCATTTCTTTGTTGAGTTCTGATAAAATGTAATACTTTTCCTCTATGAGATCTCATATAATGTACTCAACTCTCATGTGACATACTATGATTAGTCTATCAGTTAAAAGAGAGTTTCCTCAGGGGAAAGGCAATATTAAATATATATATGGTCATCTGACAAAGCTTTCTTATTTTCCCCTCAAATGTCTATTTGTTTCAATCACTATGAAGGCATTTGACTCTGTGAATCATGACAAATTGTGGTTAACCTTGAGAAGAATGGAAATCCCAGAACACTTGACTATACTTATGCAAAACCTAGACTTAGACCAGGAAGTTGTCATCAGAACAGAGCAAGGACTTCATGGTTCAAAATCAGGAAAGCAGTGCATCAGGGATGTGTTCTGCATCCATACCTTTTCAATCTATATGTAAAACAGATCATTCGGAAGGCTGGGCTTTATGAGGAGGAATGTGGCATCAGGATTGGAGGACGACTCAAAAACAACATACACTATGCAGATGACACAATCTTACCAAAACTGAGGACCTGAAGCGTTTGCTGCAGAAGGTTAAGGACTGCAATATGGAGTGCAGCTGAACATTATGACGACAAAGATTCTAAGCACTGGGCCAACTGGCAGCACCATGATAGATGGAGAAGAGATGAAGGTTGCTGAGAATTTCAGCTTGCTTGGCTCCACAATCAATACTTTTGGCACCAGTAGTCAGGAAATCAAAGTGATTGCACTGGGGAAGTCAGCTCTTAGGGACTTCTCCAAATTACTGAAGAGTAATGATGCCAGTCGAGAGACTAAGATGTGCCTGATCCATCTTTCCAATTACTTCCTATGGATGAGAGAGCTGGCAATGACTAAGGATGACAGAAGAAGAATTGATGCCTTTGAATTATGGTGCTAGAGAAGAGTATTGAATATACTATGGACTGCCAAGAGAACAAAGAGTATTGCAGAGGGAGAAATCAACTTTCTATTTGAAGGCAAGGATTTTGAAGTTCTGTGTCACACGCTTTCGACATGTGGCCATAAGGAATTAGTCCTTGGAGAAGGCCATCATGCTTGGAAGGGTGGAGGGATAGAACAGGAGAGAAAGACCATGAATGAGATGGATTGATACAGTTACTGGGGTACTGGGGGTAAGTGTGTTGGAATCCGTGAGACTTGCTCCCTATCGATAGGGCAGGCTTCAGAGCTGTTGTACATAGAGTCACTATGAGTCGCAGGTGACTCAGTGGCACATGATATCAACATATCCTACATATTTTACTACCATCTAACTTCCATTTCTCTGGACTTGAACTGGTACTCTAACAATACTGGATTTAGCACTCCTTGTGGCTAAATAGTCAGGAGTTTTGCTGTCAACCAAAGGACACTTGATTCAAATTCACCTGCTCCATGCGAGAAAGATGAGCAATCTCTACACTTTCGACTTCCTGACTCTGAAAATCGGTTAGAGGGGTCAGCTATGAGTCAGTTCCCACTCTATGGTACAGAACAGCAACGTTATGCTGCCAACACAAGGTGGAGTTTGAATCCACCAGCTGCTCCTTGATTTGCCCACTCTGCAAACCTGCTGGAGGGTCAGCTATAAGTAAGTTATGATTTCAAAGGCACATAACAACAACAAAATTATCTAGGCAGGAGAAGCCTCTAGCCTGCCAATGACTCTTGACCATGGGACTTGCCTTGAACTTGGTACAGCCGTTATAAGCACGTGAGTGCTTGAGTTTTATTCTCTATGTTTCGTTGCTTTTGTTGCTAGAGAATTCAGCTTAAGACCACTGCTTTCTGGTAGTTACCATTTTCAGGGCAATGTGGTAATTTTTACTCCTTGAAAACTCTTTCTGACAGTCCTATGAGAAAGGTGACAGTATTAAAGGTCAACCCACTAATCCTCCATGCCAACCACAGCAAGAGAACTTTGCTTGGGGTCCCTCCGCCTCACAAGGGCCTTTAGCACCCTTTCCTCGTCCTCCCTACGGCTAGGGGGCGCGCTCGATCTCACATCGGCCCCATTGACAGGCACGCACACTCCCTTTCCACACCGGAGAAGGCTCATCCTCCATCCTTCGATTCACAGGACGCGTCTGTGTTCCGCATCCGCCAATCAGAAATGTCCATGTGCTACTGAGGGCGGGGCTGCCAGGAAAGGAGGAAGATGGCGGCGGGGGCGAGGTGAGGTGTTGGCGATAGAAAGGGGTTCGGGCGCGGGGGGCGGGGGGATCTGGAGCCATGGGTCGCGCCGACCGTAGAGGCGGATAAAATTTCGTCGCGCCGCAGGTGAAGGCGAGAGAGGAGGGCGACAAGGCGCCACGAGAGTATGACGGGGCTGTACGAGCTGGTGTGGCGGGTGCTGCATGCGCTGCTCTGCCTGCACTGCACGCTCACCTCCTGGCTCCGCGTTCGGTTCGGCACCTGGAACTGGATCTGGCGGCGCTGCTGCCGTGCCGCCTCCGCCGCGGTCCTAGCGCCGCTCGGTTTCACTCTCCGCAAGCACCCTGTTGGCGGTAGGCATCGCCGGCACCCTCGGCACCCGCGCGGGGGGCCGGGCCCGGCCGCCGCCCATCCCGGCTTGCGTTGGCGCGCGGACAGCAGTTCCCTGGAAAAGCTGCCGGTGCACATGGGCCTGGTGATCACCGAGGAGGAGCAGGAGCCCAGCTTTACGGACATCGCGAGCCTTGTCGTGTGGTGCATGGCTGTGGGCATCTCCTACATTAGCGTCTACGACCACCAAGGTGAGACTGCGGGGCGGGGTGCGGCGGGGGTCGTCGCAGGGACCGCATGTCCCGCAGATGTGTTGGGGTCGCGCAGCGCTCGGCCGCCCGCCCGCGCGGCTCTACCTACGCGGCTTCAGAGCCCCACGGCCCTGCCACGCTTACGTTTTCGAGGAAGCTTTATTGAACACTTAATAAGGCCTTGGAGTCGCTCATTCTCTTTCTCCACATCCTAAAAAGATTTTTCCCCCCTTATTGCGCATCAGTAAGGTAAATGATATTCTACATCTTTGTTTCCCGGGTGAGGGTGTCGAGACTCAAAAACATTCATTGATGTGTCCAAGGTCACGGAAGTGGTCATGGGGGACTGGAATTTTTGTCGGTCTCCGCTGTTTCACAATCTGCAGTTCCCTTTACACCACGTTGTTTCTCAGAGAGCCTCATGGGACTGTCGCTTCCTAAGTCACTGTCCATGAGTCGTTGTTGGGGGGGATGATTAGGCAAAGGTTGGGTAGTAGATTCTGCACCTGGGAACCCTGGGAGACGGGAAATCTTGGGCACGTTTGTGTTGAAGTGAGATTACACAGTTCTCCCCTTCATTATTTGGACGGCTGGGGTGGTGTGTGTGACCCTTGATTCAAAGTGATCAACCCAGTACCTGACACAGTACTTGTTTTCCCCTAAATGCTGTTGTTGTTGTGCACCATCAAGTCAGAACCGACCCATAGCAGACACTCCAGCCTGTTTTCAGGGGCTGTGAATTGCACGGGATGACATTGTCCATCCTGGGGAGAGCTTGTGGGATGCGAAAACCGCGTGCCTTCGGGATTGCAGCTCAAGTTCTTACTAGGCCAGCAGAGCTCATTAATTCTGTTAAGAGGGCAATGCATTTCACCATGAGAAAAATAATAAATACAAAATACAACACCAGATGTATGCACACCCATGTTTATCGTGCTTTGTTTACAATAGCAAGGAGTTGGAAATAACCTAAGTGCCCATCAACAAACGAATGGATAGAGAAGCTGTGGTATATTCACATAATGGAATACTATGCTGCATTGAAAAACAAGGAACTCATGCAATATTATTCAAAATGGGTGACCTTGGAGGACCTTATTCTGAGTGGAGTATCTCAGTCACACAAGGACAAATACTGCATGGTGCCACTGTTGTAAAATAGGACTGACCTCCGGGTTGGGGAGAGACTGAGAAAGATGGGTTCAATAATGTATACTGCATTGAAACATGAGGGAGAAAACTGTTTATAAGGAATATGTGATCAGGTACTTTTGTCATGACAGGTGTCTAGAGCGAAGGCTATATAGTGGAGTGGACCTGGGGGAGGGTTTGTAAAACAATGAAAGAATTTTTCTTTTACTTTTCCAAGAGGGTAGTGTACTAGGGGGGAGGATAGGGAGGGGAGAAAAGTGCAACAATGAATGAATGGAAATCCAAAGTCTATGAATTTTCATTGAAATGAATAATAAATTAAAAAAAAAAAGATTACAACTCATGCTCATTGAGGTGAAGTCAGAACTGACTCATAGCTGATAGGCCCACCATAGTTGACAAGCCCACCATAGCTGACAGACCCACCAGAGGGCCTGTCCTCTTGCCTTTTTTTGGCAGTTCCTCTCATTACCCAGTAGACTGTCAGAGCTCCTTGGAAAGCCCCAAGGAACATTTCTTGCCCAGTTATAATTGTTTGGGTTTTGAATGGCTTTTACATGTAAATCACTATGCTCGGCACATTCCTGACAGTCACTTCCAGGGACTCTCACTTTGGGATGCAGGTGGTCACATAGATAGTTAGTTAACAGTACAAAGTGTTGACACAAAGTACTATGAGAATGGGAGAGAGAAATTTCAATGGAATGTTAAAAGGTTTTGGGGTAAGCGATAGGTAGACTGTTGAAGAATAAATAGGAAGTAAGATTGGAGAAGGCTCTGGTTTTCAGGCTAAGATTTCACTCAGTGCAATGGATTTTCCATCAAGTTATTGGCAAAAATGCTTTTGAAGTATTGCTATGAAGAAAAGTGTAAACTATTGTTATGTTCCGGAGTAGCTACAATTTGACTGTTTTTCTTTTAAATCAATGTCAGATAGGTAGATTTAAGTGTGGAATTCTTTTAGAAAGCTTAGGTCTGGATCAGAGACCTACAGGTTTTTAAAGTAAACCTTGGCTGCTCTGTTTCCTTCCCTGCTGCCAGCAAGGGATATAGTGACTCAGAAGCCTGTCATAAAATGATGATATGCTGTAGGGTAAAGTTTAAAATACTCAAGGGCTGTGACTTTATGGAACTTGCTGAAGAACTCAGCAGAGGAATAAAAATCACAAGGCTGTTAGGAGGTGTCACATGATCTTTGCCTAAACCAATAATAGTACTTGGATAAGAGAAGTAGGTGAAGGAAAAAACAAGAAATTAGTTAAGGCCACTAAGCAGCTGGTGAGTTTATTTTGAGGTCACTTAACTAGTCTCCAATAGGGAACGTAGATAGCTAGATTGTTTGGCTTGACTAGTGGCCGCAGATGATAGGATTGCCACACTTCCTTGTTCCTGCAGTTCCTGTTACTGAATTGTCGGTCTGAATCTGAAATGATCCTGTGCCACTCATAAGAGAAAAATGATTGAAAATGAGGAGGTAAGCTGGACCAGGTATTGACTAATAGGAGTTTTAAGGACATTTTCAATGAATGGATGAAGAGCACTTTGTGTCTTACTATAGAAGTAATTTGTTTTATTGATTTTAAAAGATTAGGGGTCATTTCACTGTCTGCAGAATTATCCTTAAATTCACCCATTCTTACTACATTTTTATTCAGTAGGTGACAGTTATCCAGATGTGTCAGGCGTGGGGCTTAGCTGTGAACAAAATAAACAAAAATCCCTCAGCTCTTGGAACTAATGAGTGAAGTATGTAGCATGTTAAATCATAAATTTAACAGAAAAATAATGAGAATATTGAAACTGAGTGCTGGAGGAGGGTACAATTTTAAATGGATGACCATAAAAAACTTTTGAAAGAAAAGTCTATGATGAAATTAGCCTTTTTCGGTTTAGGGGAATTTTAGATTATTGTATTAAATTCAGTTTTGCTAAATAAACTTCTCTTTAAGCCTATTAGTATATACTCAGTACTGTTTAGTTGATGCCTACACAGTGACCCTCCATCAGGTTTCTCAGACTGTGAAATGTAACAGGAGACTGCCCATCATCTCCTGAGGAGCCACTGGAGACACTCAGCCTTTGCTTTGCACAACGTCCTGCAGATTACACGACCAGAGCTCCCAGTTTCAGTATGTTGTTTTTAAGTGCCATCGAGTCTCTTGTGACTCTTGGTGACCCTGTGTACAACAGCCCTAAACCCTGCTCTCTCCTGTACTAACCTTATTGTCTGGGACACACCTACTCCCATTATCCCAGTGACTGAATCAATCCATCTCATCAAGGGTCTTCCTCTCCTGCGCTGCCCCTCCACCTTCCCAAGCATGATGCCTCTAAGAACTGGTCCCTCCTTGTAACATGTCCAGAGTATGTCAGACAAAGCTTGAGAATCCTTGCCTCCAAGGAGCAACCTGTTTTCACACTCTCTAGAATGAACCTGTTTGTTCTTCTAACAGTCTGTGGTATAGTCAACACTCTTCTCCAGCACCATAGCTCAAAGGCATCAATTCTCTATCATCCCTAGTCTTTGTCCAGCTCTTTGACACATAGCGACTGTGAAGACTGTGGCCTGGATCAGGTAGTCTCCAGACTGACATTGTTGCTTTTCAGTACTCTGGAGAGGTCCCTGACAGCCAACTTTCCCTATGCAATTTGTATCTTGATTTCCTGGCTTCTGGTACCAAGAGTGTTGGTTGTGGACCCAAGCAAATTAAAGCTGTTAACCATCTCAGTCTCTTTACCATCCATAATGATACTTCCAATTGACCCAGTGGTGAGAATCGTTGTTTTCTTGATGTTGATCTTCAATCCATATTGAAGGCTGCAGTCCTTGACCCTCTGCAGCAAGAGCTTCAGGTCTTCCTCAGTTTCAGCAAGAAGAATTGTGTCATCTGCATAACGCAGGTTGTTGATAAATCTTCATCTAGTCCTGATGCCACATTCTTCCTCATATAGCCCAACCTTCCCAATGATCTATTCTGCATATATATTGAAAAAGTATCAGTTTCTTTATAGTTAATGTATTAAACAACTCAGACATATTCATCAATGCTGCATTTATTGAGTATTTAACTGTGTTAAAAAGCACTTTATGAAGCACTGGATTATTTTAAAAGTGACATCATTAAACAAGAAATGTCTCCTTGATTCCAGCAGTCAGAAGATCAGGAGATGCATAGCATTGGGAAAGTTATGGCCAGGGACCTCTCCAAAGTCCTGAAGAACAGTGATATCATTTTAAAGACTAAGATGTGTCTAATTCATGCGCTGGTCTTTCCCATAACCTGCTATGCATCTGAAAGCTGATCTTTGAAAAAGGATGACAGAACAATTGAAGCTGTTGAGTTGTGTTGAAGAAGAGTACTGAATGTTCCATGGACTGCTAAAAAACAGTGAACAGTTATGTCTTAGACAAAGTGCAACCAGAATACTCCTTAGAGGCAAGGATGCTTAAGTTTCTTCTCACATACTTTGATCATGTTGTTAGGAGAAGATATTCCTTGGAAAGAGGCATCATGCTTGGAAAGGTGGAGGATCAGCAAAAGAGAAGAAGACCCTTGATGAAATGGATTGATAGAGTGACTGAGGCAGTGGGCTAAAGTGTGTTGGGGGTGGTAAGGATGGCCTAAGATAAAACAGGGTTCCAATCTGTTCGTAGGGTCACTAGGAGTTATATTTTCCTGTATAGCACCAAACAGCAACAACAAGAAGAAATATGTATTTGAGTTTATACTTCTAATAAAAATAGACACATGTTATATAAATGCTATGAGAATGGCAAAGATTTTAAAGAACAACCCCTGAAGAACAGGGTTATTACATATGTCCCTAGTAAAAAAGATGACAGCTGA